CAATTTATTTATTTACTTATTTACTATTATTATTACAGTCAAAAGGGGAAACATCTTCCTTAAAACCATACCTGTTTGATTCTGAAAAAAAAAAACAACAAACAACCCCACCCCCAAACAAACAAACAAACAAACAAAAAAACCAAACAAACAACAACAAAAAAACCCACACACCTAAACAAACCAAAGCAGAATGAGGCAAAGTCCCCAGGAATTAGCTAAAAATGTTTCAGAGGAACAGCAAACTAGGTTACTAATTAAGTGAAAATTGAGGTCAGTTTGGAACCAGGTCCTCTCAATAATGAGGAAAATACAGGCAGTGCAAATTGTACATCAAGTCCAAACTTGTTATGTTTCAGCACTCAGGGCAAGGGAAGGGGCAGTTTTCAATTCTCTGGATTTAATTTATTCTCAGGAGTTCAGTGTTATTTTATAAGAGCACGAAACTACTGGGACCACACTGCTGGCCTGTTTGCCTGTCGCTCCATCTGTCTGTTCCCTCCTGATAAATTGAATTCATCCAATTTCAGGCAGATTCGGAGCTGGAGAGAAGCCTTAGATTGACTTCTGAAAGAGGTGATGAAAATCGGTGGCTGAGCCGGGAAGAGATAGTCAAGTGAATGCTCTCAGTAAGAGAAATGAAGAAAGTTTGCCGTTTCCCTTTTCCTCTGACCGTGGCTACCCAGCACTGCCCCTTGGCCAGCCGGGCAGCAGCAGCAGCTCCAAACTGGCAGCAGCTTTTGTGTCTGCTTGGGGTAAAGCAAACCTCCTGGAGGACTCGGGGTCCAGCCCACGGGGATGGGGCACTGCAGGGAAGCAGCTCCATCGCTTCTGCTGCTCTGGGAAAGGTTGCTTGTGTTAAATATTTGTGTTGCTTTGTTTGCTCTAGCACGCCTACATGTTAGGCGGAGAGTAAACAGCGAATTTGGGAAGGCACAGCAAGGAAACCCAGTCTGTGTGCTTAAGCAGGAGCTGCCTGGGTAGAGTCTCTGATGTCTACTAAAGGCTGAGCTCCTGCTGTGTTTTGCTCCTTAGCAGGAGCAGTGAGAGCCTCTCTTCTCCCCTCAGCAATGCATTTGCATGAAGTGTGTAAGGATGTATTCGTGCCAGCCACCCTCTGTCAGCTTTGTTAACAATGACGTACCCACACGAGTATGTTTGAGCAAGGGATCAGACCAACACAGAGAAGCACGCAACCTGCGGCTGCATAATGTCATTTCTTTAGGAAATAAGGATATCCTTAGGAAATAATAATAAGTGTGTGCTTTCCACGGAATGATTAACCGCTAATTTTGCACAATTAACAAAGCTGGCTCTTGCATAAGACCGTGGTGGCAATGCCAGCTGCAATGTCAGACTAGAGGGGGAGATTCTTGTTTATTTGCTCGATTCTCTCTCTCTCCAAAAAAACCTTACCTTGCTTATACCACCGGCTGGCTGTTCTGCGATTGCTGATGAAAGATGGTGTGTGTGGGTGGGGGAACACACTGTCAGGATACAGCATGGCTTCAGAAAGTGCTTTTGTGTGAATTTATATCCCAGGGAACCACCATGTTTCCGTGCCACACTCTGTGTGTTTTATTACTGCAATTAATATTCTTTTCTGCCAACTTTAATGCCTTTGCTTCAGAATGGTGGAGAGTACCAGCATGTTCTAGAAAAAAAGATGAAAAAAAAAAGATATTTCTTTTGCTCATTCCCTCTCTCTCTTTGCAGATACTGCAGATCCAGCTCTCCTGTTAGGACTCGAGTGTACTTTATATAACAGATGCTCCTGAGCACAGAGTTTCCATTGTATATGCTCGCTGTGTTCCTGAAGAATCCCTACAAAGCAAGCAGGAGCATCATTACACTGCTGGAACTGGAATATTAGTGTCATTGCACAGTCATTTTGTTTGAAGTGCTAATGGTCTGACTTCATCCAATTAGCAGCCAGACCAAACACCCATTGTTCAAGTCAGGCGCACAACCCACGTATTATGAGGAGGTTTTTTCTTTGTAGGCAAAAGAAATGGGAAGTAGCAAGATAAGGAGTTAAGTCAAGCAGAGAATCAATATAAAATGTATCTGAGATATTGACTTGTTTAGTGGAAGCTCCCAAAGACAAAGGAGTTACAGATTTTACAAGACAGGCAGTGTCAGTGATGTGGGGAGGGTGTGGGCTTTTCCACGACCTCCAGGCAACAGGGGAAACTCCTGAGTGCTGGGGTTGTTCCCAGAAGACAAATTCCCCTTCTTCAACAGTGACCATGGCAAGGGTAAGGGCAGAAAGAAGAATGGCCCCACAGAGAACGTCACACTGTAGATAAACAGGCATTGAAACACCAGGAACAAGGAGCGGGGCTGCTGGGCTTCCAGGTAGTGCATTTTGAGGAAGAAGAAGGTCACTTGGTACACCTAACAAAGGAGATTGTTCAGAAGCAGAACTGTGCTTGTTGCGGTGCTGTGTCCTTGTGGCTCCTGCTACCTTTCTTTCTGCTTTGAAGGACTCCCCTTGGGTGTGGAGCTCATGAAATGTAGAGGGGCAGGTGGAAGGTAGATTGCCCTAATTCCCCTGTCAAAACAATGGCTTTGGACAGCAGACAATCCCTCTGCGTTGTGTTAACACTTGGTGAAAGGCCTTTGTTCTGGTGTTATCTTGACATGTGTCAGCTCCTCTGTGGTAAAGGTATAGCCTTCCTGGGGGCTTTGCTTGCCTAGGCGTAAAGCCACTTGTATGAGCACTGCAGCAGAGGATATTCCCAAAAGTTTAGGCCTTCAAATCCTCATCTTTTAGCTGCAGAACTTTAGTCTGAGCAGCAAAATAGCATTAGAAACAGAGGGGAGATTTCTGTGCTGCACACAGCTACAGAAAAGCAAGCTGCTGGTGGCCTCTTGGCAGCATCTCCTCTCCCAGGGCAGTGCATTCCTGCTTGGTGAGACCATTCTTCAACCCTCGCCTTTGGAAAGGAGTTGCAGGCAAGGCAACAACAAGGGTTGTACCCAGAGCAGATAAATATTGCTGCTCCTGCTGCAGCAGGATGGATGGGGCTCAGCACCCGCAGTCAGAAGGGCCATCCCCAACGTGCTGTGCCTTTGTGGGGTGCTCACTGCTGCCTGCTCCATTAGGCAACTGCTGCCTTTGCCTAAACACACACATCACCCCTGGGTGGTGAAGCAGGTAAAGGTAGAGTAGCCAAGCTGTCTGGGTTGTTGGTGTTGCATTGCTCAGCTGGGGTGTACCGAGAGCACTCCTGTCCTGGAGGGTGGCTGCTGTAGCCTTGATCCCAGTGGATCCAGTGGGCCATGGACTAAGAGACCATCCTAACCTCAGTAAGTCTATCCATCTCTGCCCAGGAGCTCCCCACTTTCCACAGGCTCATGTTTCACTCCCTTGAAAGAACATTTCTGGGAAAATGCAGCAATTCCCATAGATCATGTTGCCCCAGTTTATGGCACGATCTGCAATTGTGCTGTATTCAATATTTGTATACTGCAAAGAATCATGCCTGCAGGACTGGCACTTTGACATTCAATTTCCTTCCAGAGAGAAGTCTAGGGCGATGATTTTTGTTAGAGCTGGCCTTGTTCGAAAATGCTGATGAAGTGAAACATAAACACATTGTGTTGGAATTTCCATGGGAAAATATTGCTGAAGGGTTTCAGCATGCTCGGAATGCTTCTCTTCTGCACTAACAGGGACTCGGTCCTGTATTGATATACATAGCAGCTATAATATTCCAAAGGAAACATTTTAGCTTTATGCAAATAAACAGCAAGGTCAAATCGGAATATACATAAAAACTTTTGTGTTTGTGACTTTTCCACGATCAGGGAAAGCACTGTGTTTCGCAACCTCGATATTTCCTACTGGCAGCAGCTCAACTATATGACCACTACTGGAATTTCTGTTTATCCTTCTAAATCTAAGGTATTTATTTCCTCCTCCCTAATGTTACTAATGAATCTAATGACTCGGCGATAACATGCTGCTGAAATTAAGCACTGGGTAAAAGAGACAGAACACCATAATATTTACTTGGTTTCCAAGTAGGAAACTGGTGGAATTTTACTGTCATGAAAATGTAGAAAGTCTTGGAAGGAACTGCAGGCATTAAACCCAGAAACATGACTGCACATATTCTCATTAATCTAGATGCTCTGTAGAAAAATTAACCCTTAAATTCATACTGCCCCAATCATTCCTGAATACTGTATGGCTTTGATTAAGAACAGCTTGTAATGGCTAATACAAGACTGTCCTCAGCTAATAAAGATCCTGACATTCTTGATGCTATTTTTGTAGTAATGGAAAGGAAAAATAAAAACAAAGAAACAAACAAACAAAAACCCAACCACCTGCTTGCAACTGTCTAGCAAACAGCATGGTTAGGACAGCATTTCAGCTTATCTGTACGTGTATTGTCTTTCTTACAGCAGTGCTGGGGCTTTTAAAAATATGTTTTAAATTTGAGCTCATGGGCTTAAATGACATTCTCTGTAAAGGAATCTTTTCTGAGGATTATGGATCAGAACCTTTAACAGCTCAGGATTTAATGATACGATCCTTGTGGGCATTAATCTCCTTTGTCTTTCACTATGGATTGCTGTAATGGTATGCAAGTTATGTATATATAAATATAAAATAATTCTGTGTGTAGTTGCTGGAAAATTGTTAAATCCATAAGCTTGAGATCACCCTTATCTCCTCTGAAGGGTGCTGCTGAACATGAAACCCAACACATCTCCTCTCCTCTGCAGGTTCACTTCCCTCTCGGCTAACACTGGGCTTCTGAAAGGTGGGGAAAAACCTGGCTCCAGAGCAAGGAGTGATGTCCTCACAGGGGAACAGCTCACGTAGAGTTGGCACACATGGTGTGTGCAGAGCGTGACGTGTGCTTCATAGAAACTATTAATAATAAACTCTCTTAAACCGATAGGCTTGTCTTTGAAATAATTGGCAGCGGGCGACGTGTTTTAGTCATTATACAACGATTAAAATTCCACTGGCTTTCCCCCATTGCTGGTGGTTAGATCGTGTATGAGGTTTTTGACATTATTTTCCTAGAACAGAAAGATTACATAACAGGGCTGGCAGCCTATAAAAATTTCCTCACTCATCATGGGCAGGAAACAGGTTAGCTTTCTTAGAAGGCAGTCGAAGGTTGTAGCTGCCCAGAGAAAAAAATCTGGGGATAAATGACTTCTCTGGGAAGTAGCTGATAAACTTCTACCTGAAACACCACCTTGCACAGAGGAGTTGCTATCGCTCTTCTCCTATAGTATTTTCAGTATCTGGATCTGCTTGGATCATGAGGAAGGCGATGTATTCCTGGGGGACCTTCACAGGAAGAGACAAGTGGGAGAAAGGGGCAGGTGAAAATGCAAGGATGCTTCCCAAGGCTGGGCATGAGGAAAGAAAGAAGCTGGAAACAAAGAGAAAAAGAAAACTAAAAACTGTGGCAGGCAAATTACTAAAGGCTGTGGCTAGTGGGAAAGAGATAGCAGCAAAGAAGGCTGAAAGTGAACATGTGGCTGGGAATTTGCTGAAGATGGGAACAAACAGGAAGGAAGCGGAGGGAGAGACGCCTGCAGGTAACCTTGAAGATATCTCTGTCTCCAGTCCTAGACCTTCTCAGCCTCCTCCAGCTCTGCAGACTCTTGTTTTCTTTAGTTTCTGGAACAGCTGATACAAGTGTTCTCCTAACCATCCTTCAACTAATTTGTTGTCCATTTTCAGCTGTACATTTTTTCCTCTGAAATTTCTGTGTTTCTTTCCCTTTGCCTCATGAGTATTTCTCTTTGCCATTCCTAGATTATCCCTGCAAAGACTCCTGATGCATCTTCTAAAAAGGATGATGTACGTCTGACTTGTACCCTTGTAGGGTGTGACTGTGCTGTTCTTCCACAGATGGGCAGGGGGAGGTGGGTTGTACACGGGTTAATTGTACAAGGAAACATTTTCCATGTGTTGCATGTGTTGAGGCAGGGATGAGTGCAGCTTGCAAGCCCCCTGCTGAGCAGCTTCCCCATTTATTTGCTGGAGATCCTTGCATTAAACCCGTCCCCAGTTTTGTGTCATGTTCCTCCCTTCAGCCCTGTTTAATTTAATTCTAACTACACAGACGTATATTTCACAGAAGAAAGCTTAGGATACGTGCAAAGATTATTTAAGCTAACTCTCTTTCATGCTTTGCTCTAAGCACACCCAAAGCTGTATCCTGAATTGATTTCAGTGTCTCACTGCTTCTGTCCTGGCTTAACTTTCCATGGGTCCTCATCAAATTTAAGTTTTCTTCTGGGCTCTGCTTCCAGTTGTCTTTTGGGAAACCTTGTTAACACTTTGTTACTCAGCTTCATCATCTGTAAAAGGCACAGGAAAAGAAACTACTGCCTTGTGCAGCTGTTGTGAGATTAGTTTAACTCTTACTGGCGGATTGAGTGTGATGGTAAATGCTTTGGAAGCAAGCAGCAGTGAAAAACTTCTCCTTTCATCTCCTGAACTTTAAAGATTCGCTGTCTTGTCAGTGTGCCTGGTGATCAGAGCAGTGGCTCGGTCACCACGGCTTCTTGCAGACACCAAAGTCGTGAATTCCCATTGCTAATGCAGTGCAGCCAGCCTGAATTTTGATTTTCACCTTTGGACAAAATAGTGCATGCAGCTATTTGGCCTAGTTCAAGAGCCTTGGTAAAGAGAGGGCCCTGGTCTGCATTGCTACGAGTGCCACACTGTGCGTCTGTGGGAAGCTGTGAGCAGGAGGGAGAGGTCTTACAAGAGATTTTGCAGCACGTTGTCCTGCCAGGGTTCCTGCTGGGCTTGACTTTCAGCTGTGTGCTCCTTCAGAAGATGTCCTTTCTGTAATGCTTTTGTTCTGGCCCAGATGTACTTTCCTTAATGAAAGATTGACGTTCATAAACCCACATTGCCCATGAGAGGATCTGGGATGGTCACAGAAAGATGCAGAAGACGTGTCTGCAGGCTTAGATAGCCCCAAGGAGAAAGGAAGAGAGAAAGAGTGCTTGCCTTGGGGAAAGTGAGAGGTGCAAGTGCTAAGCCTTAAGTAAGGGAGGTGATTTTTTTATAGATTCTGAGGCTTTCTGGGATACCTGTGAACTATATACTTCAATATGTGGATATTAAAGCGATGGGTCCTATAGAGGAGTGAACAAACGTCAAGCTGAGCTGTTGCTCTCTCTGTTGCAGAGGAAACCGTCTGTGAATTCATTGAGCAAGGAAAATTTTTTCAAGCTTGTAATTGTATTTCTGATCTGGAGCATTCTGCAAGTGATGCTGTGGGGAAGTCTGAGTCACTTTATATGCTGCTGGCCGAGCGAATGTGGGCCGTGGTGGGAGAAGCCCTCCATGGAAGTGACAGGGTGCTCCTGGAGCCGCTGCAGTCGGTGGGTGAATCGCTGGCGTGGGAGAAGCAGAAGGAAGAGGAGTGGCTTGGCCGTGACCAGGAGATGGAGTCCGTCTCCACCTGGCACCCAAACTTCTGGAAGAAAGATCTGGAGGAGAAACTGACGCAGTACATGGCAGCCCAGATTCCCCGCTTTGTTCCCACGAGTAACACCGATGAGGCTGCACTAAAGCAGCACCTGAGTCAGCTGGAAACAACATTTCTTCCCAACCTGGAACACAAAAGCGGTTTCTTCAGGGAAGCAGGACTGCTCGTCACATATGCCCGGTGCTGCCATGCCTCTCTGTCCTCTCACCTGTCCACCCTTACTGACAATAGGCACTGCACCTTCAGCCAATGTCTTGTAGTTTATGAGTGGTGCCTTAAGATGTACAAAAGGTATGTCTGAAGGACTATCTTTCCTCTACAGGTTTCCTGTGTCTCTCTATTCTTCAGTTCTGAGCACAATCCCTGTTTCCTGTTAATGCAGTGATTTTCAGGGCATAAAACCAGACAGATCTTGCTGGGTTTAGATTTGCCCAGTGCCTGTTCTATCTCCTGTTCTTTCAGAACCAGAAGCTTTTTAGTTGTACTGCTGCCTCTGTCTAAATCCCTTGTACTGGACGCAGGGTTTTCCCTGATGTATGCAGATACAATTTCTCTGCTGGACTTCTGTTGGACATGTGCACAGAGCCCTCCTTTCCTGAGCAAGCTGACAGGAATTTCTTTTCTCCTATTAAGCCTTTTTTAGCAAGCTCCAGAATGCTCCATTTACTCCAGAATAATTTACTTTTGCCTTGATGTCAGCATTATGCTCTGTGGGCTTCTTTTGTTGTCTCCTTGGCTCACTCGCTGTTTTATCTGGCTTGTAGTCTGACCAGTTCTTTCCATATTTCCTGCACTCAGGCCACAGGAAAAAATACAGCAGATCATTTAATTCGTACCCAAGTTTGGGAAAATGGTTGTGGCTTACTCCGTGATCTGAAAAGCAGCACATCTGGGACCTTCTGGCCCAATGCAAATTCAAAGCTTTCCACCGAGAATTCCTGCAGGTGTCATTGAAGCCTGGAGCTACTTTGCTTTCTTGTGACTTCTTTTTGTTTTGCAATGGTAGATGAGGTGTTTCACTCTCCGTGTTCATGGTTACTTTGCTACTTAACATCTCCAATCTACTGATTCCCTACTAGTTTTCAGTGCCTTGGCTTGTTTGGCTGCTTCCATCCCCACCTAGAGCTTCTCTGTTCCTTGTATTAATTGTACCATAAACACCTGGGCAGCTGATAATCAGCTCATCAGATGGGCTCTTCCCCTAATCCTGCAGGAGGGGGACAGGGTGATGGGTACACATTGGTGCTTGTTGTCCTCAGAGACGTGGGAGACATGAGGCCAGGATGCATCCCTTCTACTGCTACTTTTACGGGTTTAAAATGGTAAAATTTTGGCTTTGGATAAGATTAACAGATTGATGAAATATCAAAACCTTACATGAAATTGGAGGTGAATAACTACTTAATTTAAATATATAAAGAAAAGCTCAGAGACAGGAAAAAATGTGTTATACAAATGCTGGATTTCTTCAAGAAAAAAAAAAAAAGGCAAGAGCAGCCTGTGAGTGTGTTAGGGTCAGAAGACAGTGAAGAAAATGGAAATGAGGAGAGATGCCAGACTGACTTTAGGAAAAATAACAACAGTCTTAACAATTTGGACTCTTCTCCTGAATACAGTTACAACCTTAGTTAATGCTCATGTGTAGATGCAATTATCCTCATCTATAGGTGCTTTTTGCTATAGACCACTTTCTATTCAAGTGGAATATCTTACACTTGTAAATTTGTGCATGTCTGGAAGTGGGCTTGCATAGCTCTGCCCAAGCCCAAGAAGGAATTCAGCAGCAGGAGAGGGAAGGGGAGAGGGAAACAAAGAGTAAAAAGCATAATTTGGGCAGCAAATATAGGAAGAAGGAAAAGAAACAGCAAAAAAATCATAGTCAGCAAAATGGTATGAAAGAGATGTTCAGCCCTGTTGGGGCTGCTCCAGGGCTGCAAACACTGCTGGATGTTTGCTGTGTGCAGGGGGAGCCAGGGGCACAGAGCAGGGTGCCAGGTGGGAGAAGGGCTGCGAGTCACTGGGAAGCTGAGCTCTTGTTTTCTGCACGCAGCAGCAGCGGGACGTGCCTGAGACCCAGGCAGACCTCCCAGCACAGCCTTGCCCTTGATGTACAGAGTCTCGTGTGGATCATTTTGAAGACAGAGGAAAAGTTACTTGCAGTCACCCGGGTAAGAGCTCAGTAGTTTTACCCCACTCTGTACTCACCCCCTCGCAGCCCTCTCCAGCCTGCTAGACTGGCACCGCTGAGGTTATAACAAAGATTATTTCTTGAGCCCAGCACAAGAAAAAAACATGCAGCTGGTGCACAGGGGTCACAGCCCTTCTGTAAGGTCTGAGCCAGGCATCCTGCCTTGCAGTCCCACAGATGACCCCAGTTCAGGGGCTGCAGCATCTCCTTTTCTCAGCAAATCTCCCCCTCTGAGGAGCCTCTAGACACGTGGTGCACCAGCAAAGCAGGGGAGATGTGTTACAACCGTGGGGAGTTCCAGAGGAAACCATGGTGTCTGGCAATTTCAGCAGGGCCTTCTAGGTTCAAAGCCTACAAATGCAACACCAGAAGTTACCACAGGCATCTTCTCTCTCACTTTCCCTTTCTATTCCTCCCTGCCCCCCCCCCTCCCTGAGCAAAGGAGGGGAAACTCCATGGCAAACTGCTGAATCACCTGAGGGGGAAGGCTCTAAGCTGCAGAGATTCTCCTCAAGTCTATTTCCCACTCAGGATTTTCATAAACATGGGAGTAGAGGCGCCAGCTGGTGACAATATGCTTAAAACCTACTGCTTTCAGTGTTTGACATTAAGCATCCACTGGGCTGCTTCAAATTATTACCCCGGGGGAAGACCACATGTTCTCAAGGGCTGTTTTTAGCACATATTTCAGTGAAGGAAATGACTACACTGGGGTAGTGCCGCTGAGGTTATCTCAGAGCATGCCACTGAGTCACTGACAAAGCCTCCAAGCTACTGACTAACACTGATGAAGAATTTCAGTCTTCTGTGGACCTGAGCTCACTTCATATGGAAAAACAGTGCTTGTCTTTTCTCTCGGCTCAGCAGCATCGCTTATAAAACCTGCTTTATTCCTCAATTTCTTTTTCCAGGATAGTTCGACACCTCATTACTCCAAATACATAGGGAGCTGACATTGAGCAAATACCCTGAGTTATCTCTGAGTGATCATAATGTGTAACTGTGACTGTAAATCATACAATGCTGGGCTTGCCACTTCAATGGATGACATTTTTCTAAATGGGAAGAGTCTGAGCAGAATAAGCAATAGCCTCCTTTGCCTGTGAATACCTGGCTTTGTCACAGGGAGTGCCAGCCCCGGATCTGTGCAAACTAAAAGCATTTTCAGCAGAAGGGATGAAAGCTGTGACCACATCAGAGGGTGCTGGCTGCTCAAATGCCACGTGGGTTTCCAAACAACTTCCAAACCTCCTCGTGGGGAACGTGGCCAGCTCTGGGTACAGGCAGCGTCACCTCAGCACTGACACCTCTAGGGCAAGGGGCCTGCGTGCCTTCGAGGGTGCAGAGCTGATGAACCCAAAATTACGGTCCCATTGACGGGGTTGTTGATGAGTCACCCCGTCCTTATGTGTTGGGGAATGTGGCACGAGCGAGGGACAAACCTTCCAGTGAGACATCAGGGTTCATTTTAATACTGAGAGGTGGAAAATGAACTTCTGTCCCCTGCTTCTGCGGCCTCAGCTCAAAACTGGTTCTGCCTAAAAGCAGAGATGGCAGGACCAAATGAACAAGGCCGTGCAGGAGTTCTGCCTGCTGGTTTGTCAGTGGTGTGCTCCCACACGTGTTGAACATCTTAGCCAATTCTGACATTTGGTAACGAGGCAGAGGTCACAAGGATGTTAAATTCTTGCATGTTTTTAAAAAAGTGGTGATTTGACAGATGAGAGATGCCGAAATTACAACCCAGTCCCATGTGTTTTCCAAGAGGCAGCAGCTGGCTGGGCCGTTAGCACTGATGGGCTGGCCGTCTGTGGACCTGAAGCTTTTACAGCACGAGGTACCACATCTTGGTCAGAAAGGGAGGACAAGGAAGAAGCTGGAGGTTATTTATGGGCCTGCTTGTTACATTAGAAGTTTTGGTCCCCTCCATGCTGGAGCTTTGGGTTGCCAGTTGCACCGCAAGGGCTAAAAATGGGCAACCTTGTGCTAATTCAGACACTGCCTGATCTGCCTCAACAAGTCATTGCCTTGCAGAGATTAACTAAATGTGTGCTCTGTCCCGTTATGGAACAAGACCTCTGTGTTGGCTTTAACTGACGCATTTCGCTTTGCAGTGGGGCAGGCTAGAAGTGTTTGTGCAGCCCGGCTGGTATCTGTTATCTCAGCACATCACGTTGACACAATTGCCCACAGTCAGGTGATAGCAGCGCTCGGGAAGAGAGGAATTTTCCTTCGGTTGTTTACAACTGCTTATTTGCCTTTGTTTAATGCTTTTTCAATGAATATGGCAGAGCAGTTGTTTTGAATATACTTTTGATGAAATTCTTAAGTGACAATCACAAATTTCCTAATTCATCAGCCAGAAAAGAACAAAGACACAAGGGGAATGTCAGACTGTACATTCTTTCTATTTCTTTGGCGAAAGATGCAGAAATGAATGAGTAAATGAGCCTGGCTTTTGAGTTTAAAGCCTCTATGAAGGTCAGATCGTGTTTTAAGCAATGAGCCCTTTCTCTGCAGCATTAGTTTTGTTTTTATAGTCTATTCAAAATAACACAAGCCAGCCAAGTCTTGGGAAATTTCCCATCCTGCAGCCTCATGGAGCTCATCTCTCTGTGACAGTAGCTCTAAACACTAACCCGACTCCTATTTGCACTCACACGTCCCTGGCTCAAGTGAAGGAATGCTTTTAATTAGTACTGGCTGGTTCATGTGGGTGCTGGCTGGAGCTAGGAAGGGTGGAAAATCTCAGCTGCAGTAGCTGGCAGCGCAGCGCTGTGTCTAAATGTTGTTTTGCTGTGTGGGTGCCTTCATTTGAGCTAAGCTAACTAGGGAAAGCTGTAGATAACCCGAGCTGACACAGGGATGAAAGGGAGCTGCAAATCTTTTAAACTCAAACAAACAACGCAGAACAAAGCAGAACAATGTTATTAGGTCAGCTGGAAAATCGCCAAGCTTTGGGTTAAATGAGACGGCCAAAAAACGGAGGCAGAAATTCATCTAGTCCAAATGCATAATGAGAGAGGCTGGGAAACCCAACTCATTATAAATACCATTGTATCTCAACATCTCAACTGCTTTTTTTTTTTTTTTTTTTTTTTAATACATATATGTATCTAGAAGGAAGTAGGGAAAGCCCTGGAAGAAGCTTTTGAGATTGGGAAAACCCCTTGTGCAGATGCTGCAGTTGTTCAGGTAAGCTGGGGGGTAACTGAAAAGCTCACACCCTTTGGGGCAGTCACGTTGTTGCTCACAACTCTGTAGGTATTTGGCAAGATCCAGTTTTGCTTGTCCTGGTCTAGCTCAGTGTGTAACAACCTTGCAAGTTAGCTGCCATATTTAAACTCCATCTCTTTACCCCCAAACCTGTTTTTCTCTTGCGCATGTGTAAGGAAACCTAAACTAACTAAGGAAAGGATGAACCTGAGATTAGCTGGTTCATGCTGAAGCTACATTTACACCTGGATTTCCACTTAACCCTAAGGAAAATGGTGGTGTAAGTTAGCCAGTCCGCCCTCTGTGAGTTCTGCACTGCAGCTGAGTGCTCTTATAAAACAAGAGAGAGCTGCTGGGTTGTGGCAGATCCCCTCATCTGGCAGTGCAAAGGCAGGCAGTGTGTTCCCTGCTGGTTAGGTAGTGCGAGGGATGACTCCAGAGCATAACGAAATTGGCTGCTCAAAGGGCATCGCAGAAGCATATTGCAGATTTATGAACAGGCGGCATTTGGATCCAGACCTGCAGGAGGCTTCAAATAAATCCTGGAGTTTATGTGTGGACTCAAGTGATGCTAGATGGAGGTTGGGGCCAGCTGACACGGCCCTCGTATCAGCTGATATGAGGATATCGTCCTCGTATCTCCAACATCTGGCCATGTCTCAGCACAGGTGGCTTTGCTGTGTTGTGTACATAGCTGGCAGTTTCGAATGCTCTGGAGCAGGTGATGAAAAAGCCTGGATAAATTGGCAACTGTTATGAAATTACTGCCTCCTCAATTTTCTCAGGCTGACACCTAAAGATCAGATAGCAAACGAACAAGGTGATGTGGAAACTCGTCATCCGTGGTTTCCTGACACTTCGGGGAGCTGTGTTTTATCCCGTCCCTTTTGGTGAACTTTTACATCTGTTGTGAGCAGTGGAAAAATACATTCCCAATGTGAGCCACCCTTTGTCTCGCGCTGATGCTTCCCAGAGCATCGGGAGAGCACGGCACACAAGTCCATCTGGCTGCCTTTATCCATCTGGCTCTCTTCCCCTTGCAAGCTTTTGTTTCCACGGAGCAACTAATGGATGGCGTTAAGCTGCCACCTGCTTGAGCCTGCCCGCTGTGGGATGGGTTTGGGGCTGTCTGGCACAGCCCCAATGCTGCAGGCACCTGGGCCACCAGACGGGGCCAGAGGGGTGAGACAGGGCTTAAAGCACGGCGCTGTGCCAGGCCTGAGGGCTGGAGCTGGGCACTGGGCACCTGCCTTGTTCAGACATCCCCCACAGAGGCCCTGGGCACACTGTTTGGGCTGCCTAATCTTTTCTGGTGGCTGCACCCAAATTTATCTGTGAGGGAGAGGAGCACAGACCTGAAGGTGTCCCCACGGGCAGCAGATCTTGGTGTGCTCTGAGCTGCAATGCTGGACGTGGCAGAGAGTGTTTGTGGGGATAGACTTTCTCCCAAATACAGAACTTTACACCACCCTGTTCACGGCAGAAAAAGCAGTGGTAGCAAATTTGTAGGATCAGGCGTTAAAAGCAGGCTCCTAAAAATACTTCCAGTCACACAAAACTGAAAAAGAAGTTGTTCCCTAGCAGGCAGAGGGATTCGCGGCCGAGCAAAGGATGGGATGCATTCCTGCTCACTGTATAAGGAAAAAAATAGCTTTGGCCCGTTCTCCTCTCCTGCCTTGAATCCACAGATATTCAGAGAGAAGATGGAGGCTGCCCAGCACATCAGCGAGAGCCTAAGCGAGAAGGTGGAAGCTGTGTGCCTGGAGGAGTGCCTGAGCTTCCTGCAGAGGTAAGGGGGTGCTATTTACATGGCTGATGGCCAGGCATGGCCCTTCCTACCCTGCCTGTGCTTCCCAGGCATGGTGTTTTCTCCTGGCTCCCTGTAAGAAGGAGAGCTCTGCTCTCAGAAGACACGTGCCTTGTTTTCATCCCCTGCTTTCTCACCATTTCTTCTGGCTCCCTTCGTCTGCATTTTAGTCTTAGGCCTCTCCCTCCCTTTGTATCATGCAAGGCAGTAATTGCTAATAAATGCTGCTGGTTGTAGATGAAGCGTTTCAGAATGAGATGAGATTTAAGATCTTTGCTCTGCACATTATAATGGGAAGGAAATTCCTGTAAATCAGAATTGTCCAGGAACTGTTTGTGAGCCTGAAGCTGTGAGGAAGTGGTCAATAGCTGTGGGTTGTGCACGCATGCTGAGGCTTTTACTGTTCTGCAGCTTTATCAGCAAAGCCCGAGTTGCTTCCCAGAAGCAAGTGTTGCAGCAACAGCAATGATAAGACAAATCTCCTGCTTCTAAATCCATAGAAGTGGCACCCAGGCAGTTCAAGGGCTGTCCCCATCCCATCTCTGTGCTCTCTTTCCTCACCAGCTGGGCAGGACAGAGACCATCTTTGTCCTGCTCGAGGTGCCCCCTCAGGGACTGAAACCACGTGCAGCAAAAATACAAGTAACCACAGAATACTTCTCCTGTTGGCTGCCAGATGTGTTACAGAGCATACCAGCTTAAAAATATGTCTTTATATTTTTTTTTTTTTAATTTAGCTATGAAAATGAAGTAAGAAACTTTCTCCAGATTGATGGCTGCCCTGGGATCTCCAGCAGCTTACGGATCCTCGAGAACTGCTGCATTCTCAGGTTAGAAACCAGACCCCAGTGCCACAGGAGGCAAAGTTAATTTTCTGAATTTTCTGTGAGGACATCATCCTGGCCAGCCCTGCCGGGTGCTGTGCCGTGGTTCCCTTCCCTATGCCCGATTCTCCCTCGTTAGGAAAGCCTCGTAAATGTTGCGCTGAGACTCATGTGCTTACGTACTTCAAGGTAAGCCCAGGCTTAAGTGCTTTGCTGAATGAAACCCTGCCGAACGCACCAGGCTTTCCCCGGGGCTGTTAGGAAGGAGGGAAGCAATAAAGCACAGAAGGCTGGGGGAGGCTGTTTGCACCTACAAGCTAATTTCAGAAGTGCTTGCAGCAATGGAGAAAACAAGGTTGCTTCTGTTCTTCCTGTGTAAAATTATCTGAGGATCTCTGGAGTCAGCAAAACGCCCAGATCCACCATATGCACAGCGCTTCCTCGACACTGGAGCGCTGCCTTGAGCCTCGGTAGCTGTTTTGTTTGATGTATGTGCACATTGCTGCTGCTGGATCCCTAACTGAGTACTGATGAGACTCTTTTATGTAATTCTTCACAGAGATACTGAAAATGAAGTTACACAATGAGCTTTTCCAGAAAGTAAAATGTCTGGTTTCAAATTGGTGATCATTTTAGCAAGGTTTTGCTGACTTGAAGACTGTTCTGATGGGATGTAATTGTTCATCTTGTACTTGCAGGGTGTCAAAGGCATACAGGATGCTCACCAACCCTCTCTTTGTCAAGGCCACTTAATGCCTTCTCATTTTTTGAAAATCCCAGCACTTTTACTCATCTAAGCTCACTAGTGATGGGTACAAGTGGCGTATTTATGCACTTGAGCTTTCATGTCCTTGTGACAGCATCTTAATGTGGGCTGTACAAACTACGTGTAGGTATCTGTGGGTCACTGAGACCCTGTGCTTGCCCTACACCCCAACACATGCCAAATATCCAAACATCCAGACAGTCATGATGGTTGTAGTGGGCAGAGTTTTGATCTGAGAGAACAGCCTGATGTGATCTAATCAATTTTTTCCATATCCCTTTTTGGTTTTGGTACAGAACCGCCTGGTGTAAGCTGACACACATTTGCAGTGCCAGCACTGGTCAGGATGCTAAGGTGAAAGGATTTCTATACAGGATGGAAGATGAGGTTACAGAGCATTTTCTGCAGACAGTCGCTTCTAGAGTCAAGGTATGGGAGACCCATGTCAGCACTGAATATTTTCATACTGCTGGGCAAGCATCCCCTTCACTTTCATGCCCCAATTTGGAAAGGATTAAAACATGGTTTGATCTTCAGGCCAATACCCTCCTCAGCCTTGTCTGAAGCTGCATATTGACAGCTTCATCTTTTCCAGTTCCACTTGTTTGTAGTACTTACTGTTGTGCTAGAAATACGTACCCCATGCTTCCCCTGGGGACCCAGACCCCAAGGGTTGAGCTCCACTTGTTGCCTATTCATCCCCTGCAGCTGGGTGTCTTCCTGGAGCAGCGATAATTCAGAGCTAATATCACACAGATACGTTTTACCCAGGATTAGAGCTACTGCTAACCATTTTTTCATGATTTTAGATCTTCTAGGTTTGGGCTTGAGAACTTAATACATCTTTCCTGATTTTGAATTGTTGCTGTCTTTCATGTTTTTGCTTTTCTTTGACATGAAGGAACAGGATGCTGCAGCTTGCGGAGGAGTCTGCTTCTGAGAGCAGAAAGAGCGGAAGCAGAGTAATCCACGTCTGTAGCCTGTGTGGTGTCTCCACATGTGCACTCTTTGACTCTGTCTGTCCCTTTTCCTCAGGAAACACTGAAGGATCACTTCAGAAAATGTGACAGTGGTTTCAACCACATCCTTGAATCCTTAAAGCAAAGCTTTTTGGCATTTGGGAAGAAAAAAACAGACATATATGAGGTAAGAAATAACAATAAAGACACAAGTAAGAAAGTAAGAAGGAGATATTATTCAGCAAATTACTAAAACTAGTCCATGAACTTCCAAATTACACAGTATTTCCACATTAATCCAAACTACCATTTTGTCTATCATTAAAAGGGCTTTTCAAGATCTAGTGGCCTCAGTCCAGTTCCTCAGGGTTGGATATCTACTTCACCAGGACAGCTAGGACCTTCCTGTAATCTCAGCAGAGAAACCAAGACGTGAAGGAAGGGGGAAACTGAATATGGGAACATCGGGCTGTCTGACACTGCCATTGCCCCAGTAGCATTATATTGGGAATCCTGATGGTTTGTGATGTGCTTCAAGCTTGGTAGTAAGGCACATTTATCCCTTTGGTAGAAGGGTACCATGGATTGGTGAAAAGTCCACATCCCCAGACGATGTAGTCTCTCAGGGTAGAGTTACATATAAATCAGTCAGGGTTAGCAAAGTACAACTGCACAGAGTACCTACATTTTTCACTTTTATGGTAGCCTAAACAATTTGTCTAGTGTCTCACAACATGCTAGAGTCTGGCCCTTAGGAAGATTGGTACCTGGAGTATCTCCTTGTGCACAGAGTTTGAATTCACTGCTGCTGTGCTGTATATGGAGCACTAGGCATTAGCCTCCCCTTTCTTTTATCCCTCTGTGGTCTGCAGGCTTTTTCTTAGTGCTGATTTTAATTAACATTTTGAAATGCTGAAAAATGTAATGGAACAGAAAAATTGGGAGCCATTCTGATGTTGCTCAGGGCCTGTCCCTGGACGTTGTGTCACATTAGTGCTGCGGTAAGCAGCAGCTCAGTGGTGGAGCGCTACACCAGAGCTGTCTGTCCCTTGCTTTGTCTGTTTTGGGCAGGGCTGGGGATTTCCTGTACCCTTGGACCGCAGCCTAAAACCGGTCTGATTTCCACTGCTAATGAAAATGGCTTTTCTGTGCAGCAGCCCATCTCCCCTTAGAGACATTTGCTCTGCCTCCCTCTTCAGTTACTGCACGGCCTTAGCACTGAGGTTTCTTAGCAGGTTGTGTGTGGCTCAGAAGTGCTCCTGGGACTTCTTTGTGCCCAGCCACAGCTGTGTGCCCAGGGGTATGGCCCCGAGATGTGTCCAGCAGGGATGCTCCAGGGAGGCTGGATCTTGCTTTGCAGTCCATCCCAAAGCTATGTGATGGTTAGCTCGGGGCCAAGCTAAGTGTTATTTGCTGCTCTGGAGCATGAGCGTGACCTCTGGCTCTGCCACCTGGTCCCATTGCTTTTGTTTGGATGTCTCCACACTCATCAGTGTCATCCACATACTGCATGTGTTAGACCAGGCTTTTTGAAAGGATACTTAAGCAGTGAAATGGGACACCCATCTACATGGGCAACCTGTCTACATTAGTCAGAATCCTACAGGTATGGTCTGCTGCTTGCTCGCTGTCCTGCTCAGTACAGGGAAGTTAATTTGGGCTTCTTTGCTCTGGAACAGGCCCTCGTCAAGTCCGTGAACATCATCATTATTGCAGAATATGTGCAAGCCCTCCTGACCACTTCCAGGAAACCATCTTCTGAGCAGAGGAAGAGGATTGTCAGCAAGATAGAAGAAGATCACAGGACGCTGCAAACCATCTTTAAAGAGTGCTTAGTAAGTCTTTGATATGGTTATGGGTATGCACTCTCTGTCATCCAGATCAGTACCAGAAGAGGAAAAGGCTCTGAAGGCAAAAGAAAATCTTAAGAGGTCTTACCACAATGGCATTTAGCTTCACAGAAATGAAAGTCAGATGTGCTGGAAGACAGCCCTCCCGATCTGCCAGAAGCTGTTAGTTTATAGTTTTGAAATGTGTGACTGGAGCAGGCAAGATTCACACTCCTGACACTGAAATAAGAACGAGCCACATTCCTCTAAGCTGGTAAGATAGCTCCAAAGCTGTCAGCTCCCCCAGGCAAGCTCTTTGTGCCTTGCTGTGTGTGTGCAGGAGAGCAATGTGCCTGCGCATCCCAAGAGCTGTGCTCCCCCCTCATGTTTTCCCTCGAGCCTGGGATGATGAACTGAATCAGCTGCTCCACAGCTTCTGGGGCTTCACCTTCTCTGTGGATTGCCCCATATGGCTACCCCTCCTTGGACATGGGATATCTGTGTTGTTATCTGTCCCTCTGGCCTCTTCCTCCCTGCAGGCCCTTCCATGGAAGCCTCTGTCTCAGCCTCGCAGAGCTGGGCTGGTCACTGCATGGCCATTTCTGTGTTTTTTTTTTTTTTTTTTTTTTTTTTTTTTTTTCCACACGATGCTGTTGTGGTTGGTCATGGTTGCAGGGAGAAGTGAATCTTCATGTTGAGGTGAACACCTCGCATCATTATGAGGTAAAGTTGTGTCGCAAAAAGGATAGGTAGGGTGTAAAGCATATCCACACCTTTGAAGAAAAAATGTGGAAAAAACACTAGGTCTGAATTGCAGAAGCAATTTTGGTAGCCTAAGAAAGCCTCCTCACTTAATTCACAATCCTGTGTAGCTGGCACACCGTGCTGTCACATGCTTTGCCTGCTTCTCCAAGGGCAGGCACTGCAACACCAACAGCCTGCTCTGCGGCTGCTCCAGCAGGAGGACTGCCTGCACCCCGCTGGCACAGCTCTTCTGCAAGTGCAGGCTGAGAGTGCCCGGGCACTTCATAGGAAAGCTGAACTGTGCACTGCAGTAACGATTGCAAAGGCAGTCTGGTAACAGGACTTAGTTGTAACAGAGCCAATAATAACTCACGGCTGTATTGGTTTTAATAATTCCACAAATTCTGACTCATTCTGATGATTTATGAATTCAAGTGCTCGGGACTAGAAATCGATTTCCTCCCATATGAGACCCGCTGCAAGTCAGCTGTCAGAAATTCTGACTCTGTCCAAGTAATAAAATGAAATCAAAATGATAATTTGTAGGCTCCTCTGAAAAACTCTCAGGCTAATTACAATTAATCCATTAGTTTCATGGCAGAAAGCTGGAAGCTGCCTGGTGCTGTTAGCTGCAAATCTGCCTTTCCTAGAGCGATCAAGCACAGACACGTCAGTGCCTTGAGAAATCAGGGCATTGGGAACAGCAGGAGGATTTTTTTAATGTTAACTCTGAAGTTTACCAGTAATGCTGTGCTCAGCATCAGCTGTGGTTGATATGTGCAAGGACAGCTGGTTTTATAATGTAAACGAGATATGAGAAATCTAATTATCTAAGAAAACCTCGTGTTCTGCTTTGGTGAAAAAAAGTCTGCATCCATTAGTGCTGTTCCCCTTGTGTCCCTGCTCTGTCCTCTTTCTTACTTGATGTAGAAGCACTAAAAATCTCGGGGAGGAAGTTCCTAAGCAATTTGCAGGGGACAGCCTGATACTCAGTCAAATGAGGGACATGGTTACGCATGCAAAATCTGTGCTCTTCTGCAGGCTGAATTTGTTGTGCAGTTGCTGCACAGGCTGCACCTGCTCCCTGCCCTGCTCTGCCCTCTCTTCAGGCTCTTCCTTCCACTCTGTCCTCAGAACACATTAGGAAACACTTTGCTTCTTTCCTAAGAGCAGTGCATGTCAAAGGCACCCAAACGCTGCTGACAAGACACTTCGTCTTTGTCTTTTTAGATTGCACGCTGGTTACCCCGGACCTTTCCTGTCTATATCGTGCTTAACAAAATCTGACACCTTCTAATTAATTAGCATTTTGTAATAGTGAGCTTGCCAAGTATGAAGCCTTACAGTACTGGTGCATGAGGAGCTGAGTACAGCCTGTGCACTGTGCAGAGCTAGACATGCTGTGTGCCTGCAGTGCGGAGGAAGAGAGAGAAGGCTGTCTTCACATATTACTGTTGTTTTTTTTTTTTTTGATTTATGTTCAATGCAGAGATGAGCTGCACGGAGAATCCAGCCTGCTGTTTCTAACGCCCCATGGAGATCAGGGCAACCCAGGCTGCTTCTGTCCTAGTTTGGCAGCCCGTTCTCCAGGTTTGCTTTGTCACGGAGTCTCTGTTGACGTGACGGCATCAATAATTCAGAGAAGCAATTTAATTGCATTACCACACCAATGAAAAATGTGAACAAGACCTGAAGCTCTCTCTCGGCAGTTCATCCACATTCTGTTTTCTCCAGCTTTACTAAAAATGATGTGCATTTCTTGCTAGATTTATGAGGCTTTTTTCTTCTTCCATGTGCTCTGCTTTAGAGGGAGCTGGCCAGGCATAGCATCTACTATCCATGCTCACACCCCTCACAGGGTCCAGCCTTGCTTCCCGTTGTTTTTCTGCTACAGGATCTGTGTCCCCTCACCTACTCACCAAGGTCACTTTCTGCCCCTGGGCTTGTTCCAGGGCAGCAGAAATGCTGTCAGATGCTGGCCAGCAGAGCTTGTTGTCATGCAGCTACAGGGCTGTACTATCTGTGGAGGGAAACCATTTCCCAAAGAGTGAGAGAGGCTTAGAGAGGAGAGGAGATGTAGGGAAAGGCCTGCTTTGGAAAAGGAACTGCAGAAGGGAATTCTGTGCTGCTGCAGGTAGTCACTGAGCCACCCTGGAAGCAACCCATGGTTTCTTTTCTTTTAACCAGGAGGGAAAACATGCACAGACAGTCCTGCAGAACTCTGAATCCATGGAGTGAGATCCTGAGTCTGATGTGAAGCCACCCTTAACATTGTATTTTGCTTCCCTAGCTCTGAACACACCTTTGCTTTTCTCCCCAGGGTCCCGCAGCTGGTGCCCTCAAGGATCCCATAAAAGCAATTTTAGAACTTATTCAAACTTCCGATGCCGAGGGGATGAAAATAGCCCTGCTGCCCATTCTCAAAGAATTTCCCGACCTAAGGTAAGGTGTTTTACAGGTTGGTTAATTTTGTTTCTGAATGATTATTTGCCACCAGAAGATCTATAGCAGTATCAGTCCTGTGAGATCTTCTCTTTGCAGTGTGCCTGAATGGGCAATTTGCAGGCTGCATTGGTGCATTTTACAGCACTGGCACGTGTGGGCCAAATCTAGATTTCAGGACCATCCTTAACTTGTGTACTTTGTAACTTCCAAGCACTTGGCTTTTGGTTGAACACTTCACCAGTCCTCTTCTAGCTATTGCTATTTCCACATAATCCTAGGTGCATTCAGCAAGAATACACACTGCCATTTCTCTCAGGAAACTGTTAACAGAAATGAAACCCAACTTTTATTAGGAAGATGAGATTTTAGCTAACTGCATTTCTTTCAAATTCTGTTGTTTATCACATCCATCTTGAGCTCTGATGTCTTCTGCTAGTGACTGTATTTTTCAAGTTAACATGATTACAGTGTAGAGCTCTCTGTCACAGGATGCTCTAAAGGCCAATCGTGTGAATAGCTTCAAACAGGGAGCAGACAATTTGTGGTAGATAATTGTCTCAGTGCCTATTTGACATGACAGTCAAGATATAACCCCCAGCAAAGGAAGTCCCTTAACTGCAGACTGCCAGAAATGAAAAAAAGAAAGACAAAGAGATCATGTTATGCTTGGCTTGTTTTCTATAATCTTTTCCTAAGCATTTGTTTCTTTGGAAGATGCAATATTGAGCTAAAAAGATATTTATCTGATGCAGCAGAACAGTTTGTATTCTCTTACTATAAATATATGTGTATACTTACTATGTATATGTATGTGCAAAGGAAATAGAATAATATTATTTTGATCCAATTCTTAGTGGAGAGCATTCTGGTGTGAGTAGATGCACTGTTCTTGATCTCAGTGGATGTCTGTAGGTTTAAAACTGTGTTTGCTGTGGATACATTTGCCCTGCTTGTTAATCATATTGATAAGTCGTGGCCTGGCTCAGCAAAGCAATGATATGTAGAACAAAAATCCTAAAGCCCTTCAGATAACCAAAAAGTAACTCCATCTGAGGTAAGAAAAGGTAATACAAATAATAGAAAGGGTGTCAAAAAGCACTATGAGCATCTTCCAAGTGTTGGTCTGGCCCAGAAATACCAGGTGATAGGAAGCAAGCTTTTTAACTTGACTCTTTCACTGACCTGCCCTTTTATCCTTTGGAAAAGGGAAGAACATCTGAGTGCCGTGTTGGACATCAAAGACTCGCTCAGCCGAGAAGACAGAGCTGCTCTCTTGAAGGCATTTCACGATAATTGTGGGGAAACAGAGTCAGAAGCAACCTTGCTTTTTGCAGATATAGAAGTAAAACCTAGAAAATATGGACTCTGTGGCTGCTTCTGTTGTTAACAAAGGTAGGTGTGTGTGTGCTTGTGGGTAACATGCATACGTGCATAGGCAAAGGCATTCCTACTTATGGGGAGGTGGAATGCCTATGGCTGTAACATCACCTCCCCGAGCTCCTTATTGCTATATACACTGGTTGTACTTCCCTCTTTCTAGCTGCAAATTTCCACGTCATGAAGCATCACGCTGTAGGCAGTGCGGGGAACTGAATGCTCAGACGTGTGATTCAGGTTACAGCAAGGACAAGGGAGAAGACAGGGCTCTTCCTCCTCATTCTTCCCTCCTGTCTGTGCCTCCCTGCAGCAGTGCTCCTCTGCAGCATCCCCTCCTCTACCTCCCAGCCCATGTGCAGGGTCAGCCAGGCAAACGCTGGTGCCTGGCAGGGGAATTCGGAAGGGTTGTCCCCTCAGAGGCTCCCCTGCTGCTGTCCCTGGTGCAGAGGGGAGGGATATGTCAGCCCCACAGCTTCCCCCTCTCCATGAGAGCTCTGTTAACCAAACTGGGCTCCATCCTGCCCAGATGGCTGTGCTGTGCTGCTGGCACTTGAGGTAAGTGCAGAAGGCAGAAGGGATAGAGGTCAGAGGCATGGCTGTCTCTGTAATGTCTTAAATTGCCTCAGCGTGAACTGCCGGGCTCATCTGGAGCACCTGCAACCTCTTCTATACATTCTATATGCGCAGTCTGTACTGCGTGTTGCAGTCCTGTTCAATAGATCTCCAAATCACCAGGCACTTTTAAAGGCCGTTACGTCAGTCCTTTGGGTTTCCCAAGTGATTCTTTCACATTCACAAATTACTTTTTTTAGGTGGCAAGCTGCATCAGATCTTGAAACTAAGCAGGTCCTCATGGTTTAAAAATAGCTTTTAGTGGAGAGCAAGCAGCCATTTGCTTCACTTTAAATAATCTGTAGCTTCTTTTTAGTCCAAATTTGCCTTGCTCCAGCTCAGAGCAAGATAATTTTGTTTAATCTTTGCCAGACCAGAGCCCTCTCATACCAGAAATCCCTCTCAGTTAATATTTACAGATTGTTATCAGTCACCTTCTGTTGGATAAGCTGAATAGACTGAGTACCTCAGGTTGGAAAACACAGTCCCTTTCCACCTCCTCCTCTGCTCTCCAGTGTCACCATTTATTTATAGTTCCCACGTTAGCAGATCAAGGATGAGTTACACAGAGCTCTGACCTGGGGCCTCCAGGCACAAGCAGACAGCAGGTTACCCTGTTAGCCGGGAGAGAAAGCAATTAGAGAAACAATAAGCAAGCACACGTTCCCTTCCTAATGAAAACTGGTTCCGATATAATTAACTGGCTATCAGCCACCCACTTGTACACCCTCCTTTAAAGAAATTACCCATAGCACCACCTTTGCTTTAGAAAAGATACTCAGGAACATGTTTTTAAAACACTGTAAATCACTTAATCTGCTATTTGCTGAAATCCCCTGGGTAAATAGGCCCCTAAATCCCAGAACTGGCTGTGCTGCAGTGCGGTGGAAGCATATGTGCAGCACAGGTTGGTAGTCTCAGCCAGGCTCACAGGTAGCAGCAATAGTGAACTGCGGGAGGGATGTGCTTAAAGGAAGGTCACCTTCCTCCCTCCATCCTGTCCCCTTCCATCCTGTCCCCTCTGTTTTGTGGCCGTGCACTGGGGCATGACCTGCAGGTACACCAGCCCCTAAAAATCACCTGCTTTTTCCCAGTCAGGCATGCAATATTTGTGCATATTTGTCCCTTCTGTAGACACAGGTGGGAGGACTCTGGGAACTTGTTATCACTGGTTGTTTGGTGTTAGCATGAAATGACCTCCCAGAAGAGGAGTGAGAAGGTTTGACTAATGTGGGCAGAGAGACACAGGGATGCTGCCAACAGCTGCGGGCCCACAGATTGCATTAGCCAGAGCAGCCGAGGAACTGGAGATTTTCAACATGGAAACATTGATACAGCTTCATTCAGGACCCTGTGAATAGGAGGGATGTTTTTGCCATTTGACTCTTGCAAGTGCTCTGATAAGTGCTATTTAATACACAGCTTTTTTTTTTTTTTTTTCTTCCACTCAGGCCCCCTGTGAGAAACACGAGGTTCTCCCTCCCATGTGGCAGCATCTGCGATCACAGCTCCTTGAGAGCTTTGGGGACTTGTGCAGCCGGATGCACGAAGATGCCTGGCAGCTATGGAAGACAGAATTCCTGCGCTTCTGCAGGAAAACCACACAGCCCAAATCCTAATCTATGCAAAGTCCAGGTGGAAGATGATTGGGGTATGGCAGAAAGACATTCCTTCAAAATTGCCTGGAGATTGCTGCTTAGCAGAGTCCCGGTGGTTATTCCAGGCTGTGGCACCACGGCGTGTAGAGGAGGAAAGTTCCTCCCTGCCAAATTTTCATCTTCCCTCCCTTGTTTCACACAGTCTTGCATGTAACGAGGGACTGTTGCACCATGCGGTGTCCTAGCAGATTACATGGCATTGCAACCTGCCCCATGACCCAGGACCCACTGTCAGGACATCCTGCCTAGCCTATGGGAGCACGGAACGTGGACATGGGGCAGGCTGGGGCTGTGGGCTTGGGCACATGGATCCAGCCCCCATAAAGCTGAGGGGGCTGCCCCTTTCCCTCGCTCCAGACATGCGAAGGCTGCGATCTGCTTTGGGGGCAGCCTGCCTGGGGGAAATGCAGCCTCTCCCTTCTCAAAACAAGGTTGAAAGCCCCAAGAGTAGGAGCAGGGGACAGCACTTGGCCTTGTGTCATTTCTTTTCAGGCTGTAGGATGCGTGCAGCCTGACATGGCTCACGGCAGCCTCCCTGCTGTGCTGGCTGTGGGACGGGGAGCTCATCTCATATGAGTTTCACAGCTGGCTCTGGAGCAGAGTTTTGCATTCATTTTTATACCTCAGTTTTCTGGAAATTTCCTCCTGCTGTGGAAAGCAGCTCCTTTGGAGAGGGAGTAGAAAGCTTCATGGGAAGTGGGCAGTGAAAGGAGTTGTTTGTCCCAGCCTCTGGGCAAGGTCTGTGCTGTTTTCAGATGTAAATAGGCAGTTCCTCTGGGGAAAACACCAAGTTTTCTTTCTAGTTATCTATGGGCTGGCCACAACCTCCGAGCTGGATTTGGTTCAAGGCCCTCCTTTGCTATTGTGTTAATTTAGGTCATTACTGTCCTGCTCTTCTCTGGCCGTTGTAAACAAGCGAAAAAGCTCTGCTACCTCAGACGTGCTGGTGCTTTTCTGAGTCCTGTTCGAACACAGTTTCTCCCCCTCATCTCCTGGCACCAAAAGGGGTTCTTGCTTAACAAGAAGAGGGGCTGGTTTGTGAGGATGGGGACGTGTCTGGCTTGGGGACTGTGGGTTGGTGCAGGCCTGTGTGGGTACTGCCATGCTTTGTAGAGCCATGCCATGCCATGCCATGGCCTGCGAACCTGAGGGAGCAGGAGCAGGTTTCTGATTGCCATGAGCATTGCTTCTGGCACAGCGCTGAGCGTGTGAGTCACAGGCCCAGGAAGGAGCAGGCTGAATCACCAGGAAGCACTGTGGGCTCTCAGTTGGGCATCGTGGTAATCCGTCATTAAAAGCAGGACCAAAGCGTTGGGTGGACGCCCATGGCCTGCCTGCCCTTCCTGACTGCACATCTGCTTCTAGGGCCCAACTGAGGCACCTCTCATGCTTTATAACTGCCCTGCATGGTTCAGTTACACATTTCCAGGACATGGAAAGGCTCGGTGAGGCTGGCGAGGAGCTGCAGCCTGGCAGGGTGGGTGCGGGAGGGCTTTGTGGGGTGGTGGGTGCCTGTCACCATGTGCAGTGCTGCGCTTGAAGCAGTGACGGCCCTGTCAGGCAGGCCGGGTCATTCATCCTCCTGTGCTGCCTAATTGCACATTTTTTCAAGGGCAGGAAGTGATTACAGCCCCAACTTTGTGACAACAGGATTAGAGTCAGCCTGTGTTTATTGGAATTTCAATCAACGAACCTTCCAGAGGAAATAAATAAAAACCCCTCTGACATTTTGATCGCGTCTGGTCTAAAAATAATTCCACCGCACTTGAAAGATTCCTGCCACAGACGTTTTGATTGCTGCATGCATCTCCTGGGTTTGACATTCACAGGCACCAAAGGGTATTTTCCGCTGGCTGGCCGGGGCTGGGAGCCCTCGGGGATGCCTGGCTTTCCACCGGCGTGTGGTGTCCAGGTGGCATCTCCTGCTCTGCACGTGTGTGTAGAATGAACACCCCTTTCCGTGCGGTTTCTTAATGGCAAATTTCTCCACCCTGTGCATGGCATTAAGTCGTGGACAGGGCAAATAAAGGCTTCAGTTCAGAAAGACAACCTGGGGCGAGGAGATTTGTGCACGAGGTCGAGCTCTGGTGGCATGTGGGAGGTTTTTTTGACCTGGGGCGCTCTCTGGGGAGAGGATGGGGAGAGGGGGGCCCAGCAGATGGTGAGGGAGGAACATCCTCGGCCACCCGCAAGCCTCCAGGGGCGAGCAGATGGTGTGTGGGGAGGCCCCCAGGGGTCTCGGGAGGGGAGGCAGTGGGGGGTCCTGGGTCACACAGAAGGGGAGAGCAGAGGGGAAACTGCCTGGGGAGGTCAGGCAGGGAAGGGAAGGCTGTGAGGATGGGGACTGAGTGATTTCCCTCATGCCGGGGGGATTTTAACCCACTTCGCTGTGAGCCCTGACATTCCCAAATGAATGCCATGCTGCTCCTGGTGGTTTGATGCTCTGGCTTCTCACAGAGTTGCTTGCCATCACTGCCTCTCTGCTCCTGCCCACAAGGTGAGCAATAATTTCTCACCCAAGCCCCCACACTGCCCCGGGCTTGGGTTTGGCCGCTTTGAAGTGCTGCACGCAGCAGAGCCTCGCCAGCCACCCCGTCATTTGAGATCCCGTCTCAAAGGGTCACCTTCCGTGCTTGATGCTGAAGGCAGTGGAAAACAAACACTCATTAATTACGCTGCAAGGTCTAGGGAATGGCCTGACATTTGCTGAGGTGCCACCTGTGCTTCCCCAGTTTACCAAGCAGCTTTGCCAAGGGTGTGTGACGGTGCAGGGAGGGCATGACGGTGAAAAAGCAGGTAGGGCTGAGGATTTGGGACATGCCGGCTTCTGTTGCATAGCAAATGTGCACAGTGAGAATAAATCCCCCAAACCATGACACACAGTTGCTTGCCGGCTGCCAAATTTTATAGTAAATTGGGTTTTATTCCATTGCCTATGCCCTCCCAGGAGAAGTCTGATGATGCTGGACACTCATGCACTGACCAACGCTGTCCAGAAAAACCCTCACCCGTCTTCGGGGCTGTCCAGCACCCAGCTGGGGAGCGGTGTCTGACCCACGGGTGGGGACAGGGACACACGAGGGAGTGCAGCAAATGCTAACCTGGCTAATTTCCCCGTGGAAATAGCTGGCACATCGCTGAAGCTTGCTCAGCCTGATTTTAAGAAACCCCTTAAACCTTTGCCTTCACCCCAGCACACCCACGGCTGCGGGGGCAGCAGGAGGCTGCAGAGGCACTTGCTGAGGCCTCTCGCTCTGCACCAAGGAGCTGTGCTGGCAGCCTCCCCCAGCGCCCTGGGGACAGACGGGGCTGGAAGGGCACACAGCTGGTGCCATCTAGTGGCTTTCGGAGCCACCTGGTTCATAAAAGCCGCTGGAGGCCCTGGGAGCTGAGGGAAGCCGAGAGGAGGCCACAGGGTGCAGCGAGGCCGAGCTGTTTTGGGGGGCATTGCTCCCCTCTGGCAGCCGTCGGGGCTTTAGGATGGGGTTTCACACTCGGCTTCACCCGGTCTAGGGCCGTATCGGCACCAAAAGACACATTCCTGCCTCCATCCCTGTGTCTTCCTACCTCCTCCCATCACCTCGTGCTGGGTGTTGTGAAGGGCTATTGGTTTGTGAGCATTTAAAATAAAGGGAGGGTGGTTGAATCAGCTGTTGGGACAACCCTTGTGGCTCAGGGCTGGCTGAAGGATTTGCAAGGGGGCAGAGCAGCAAGGAGGTCCTGGAGCAGTTTGTTATAGCACGGAGACTCGCAGGGGTTTGTAAAAAATGTAAAGCAAATCTTGGCCAACAAATGAGTATTTTTTTTTTTCTTTTGCTGGGTTACATCCACTGATCTTTTGTTTCTCCTAACAAGATGGGCTTGTGCTGTGCCAAATGATGTCATTTTCTTCCCCAGCGGCCTGCCCAGTGTTGAGAAAGATCTGAACCTCCATTTCCAGCTGCTGGAAGGGAAGCACAGCACGGGGCGGTGATGGTGGTGGTGCTTCTCTTTCCTGTGTGCAAAAATGGTGTTCAGAAAACCCCCAAGTCTCCGCAGCTCAAAACCCCCCTCACCACCCGGAGGGCTGGAGGAGGAGGTGGATTTGTCTGGGTGCTGGCAGGGAGCAGGATGTTTGATGCTGGGGTGTGCAGATGCAGCCACGCAGCCCGTGGCCCATTTTGCTCACCGGATCTAATCCAGCACAACCCAAATGTGGGACAAAAAGCTGGGCCAGCCAGCTACACCTCCAGGCAAGGCGGTTTCAGGGCTACCAAGCTGTTTTAGGGCTGGTCTGTCCGTGCAGCCCACGGTCCTGGAGGCAGCCCCCGCGGCTCCGAGGCCACGCGTGTTTCGTGGCGCTTTTTGCGGGATGTCCCCCGGGTTGGGGCCACCTGCCGGGGTGTCCCCCCCGAAAACGGGTGCTCTGCTGTCCCCCGGTGTCGCGGCGAGGCTGGGAGCAGCCGCTAGGTGGGGGTAGGACCTGCGGGAACCCGCGGAGCCCGGCGGGCTGGGGCTGCTCCCTGCCTGCCCCTAAATGCCCCGTGTAAGGCACTTAGGGCTGCTCCCTTCCAGCAGAGAAACCCTCATCCCGCTGCCAACCAGCATCTGTGGTCCTTGACCCGGTCCCACGCTCTCCCAGCTTAAAATCACAGCCCAGAAAGGGGGAAAATTCTCTTTTTGTGCACCCGCAGGACTGATGCCCACGTCTCCAGAGAGGGAATTAGGGTGGTGCTCGCTGCTGGTGCTTCAGCCCCGGGGGGCCAAGGGGAGAAGTGCCATGTGAAACACTCTGCAGTGAGCCAAAGCCCTAACCCACAGCAGTTTCTTTATTAGACAGCTGGCCCTGGCCATTAGGGATGTAACGGGGAGCTTTCTCTTCTGCTTTGTGCCCCACATGGTCATTAATATGATGCTAAACCCAGTTGGTGGCTCCTCAACAAATTATTAAACAAAACAAGCACAGAGAGGCATTCAGGCTACAAAAATAAAAATTTCTGGGAGATATTTTCCCCAAGACTGCATGATGACCGTGTGGGCCACGATAGTTCTGTGGATGAGGTTTATGCCTATCCGACACTTTTTGCAGGGAGGAAGGTGAGTTTGGGAAACAGCGACTGCAGGAGTGAAGTGTCCACATCCTCAGGACATGAGGATCCTCATCTCTGTCCCAGGGGTGAAGTGTCCTCATCCTCAGGATGTGAGGATCCTCCCACAGCAGGACCCACCCAACAGACCCCTTGCGCTGAGTCCCCCCAGGAGGTGGGTCCTGGGGGGCTCCTGCCCCGTGTGAGCTGAACACCAGGAGTGGAGGTGAGAGCTGTTGGTGTGGCAGCCACAGCCCTGCTACACCAACTTTTTACTTGCTTTACTTGCCAACATCTTGTCCCCTGTACCCCACATTTCCTCAGTTAAGCTATGTTGCTTCTTTCAATGTTTTCTCAGGCATCACTCTTTCTGGACAGTCAGTTTTCCTCTCTGTTTTCCTTCAGACTCTGGAGGTGGATTGCCCAGACCGGACACTGCACAGTAGCTCATCCTCGATGATGACAGCCAGAGCAGGAGAGTTACTTTCCATGCTGTGAAGGTGTCAACTTGTTTTTGCAAGTCCCAGCTAGAGATTTCCTTTTTTTCACAGCAATGTGTTGACACAACCCATTCATGACCCTTTATTACTCCAGAGTGTTTGTATTTTTGCAGAACAGGCAATTTCCTCCCCTTACTTGTGCAGTTGTTTATGTCTGTGTCATTGTGCTGAGCAGTGCTTGTTCTGGTTGAATTGTATCCTATTGATATATATTTTTTCCTAGATAACTGCAAGATCAAATCCTGTCCCCTACCCCAGTCACCCTGCTTGCAGTCCCTGAAGCTCTCATGAGCATCCTCTGCATTTTGGCACCCAAATGCTGAATGCACTTGGCTCAGAGCAGACTCCTGTGGCCACACACTCAACACCTCTGTGCTGTTTTGCTCTCTGACTGTGAGTCTCCATCCAGGTTTGTGTTGGCATGGAAGTCCCAGTTTTCTTTCTCTGGAAGCCTCCGGTTTATTTAGGCTGCAGTTGGATGCACAGTTTGTTAGCATTATCTTATTTCATTTACTTTTTGGCAGTGCAGCTGGCATAAGCAGTCCTCTCTTCTCCCCTGCCTGTGCTGGAGCAGCCGTGGGGGCAGAGCCCAGGGCTGTGTGTGCTGCAGGGGGCTGAGCAGGGGACAGCGGGGCAGGGGGGGGCACAGCCTGCTTAAACCACGGCTGCTGCTGGAGCAGATGCACCTCTGAGCACTTACAGCTGTGTCCCGTGGTGCTTTTCCATCCCTTGGTAATGGCATCTGTGCTTTGGCTTTCCAGTTGCTCCCCAGGTGCCACGGTTTGACGTGAATCCACTGGAATTTAAATAACTGTTGTTTTTTATTCTGTAATTCCCTCTTAAAGTTCAGGGGATTAAAGAATTTATGAGTCAGCTGAATTCCCATCACACCCCACATCCCTCTGCTGCACTGAGAGATTTCTTCATGCCTTCAGTATAATTTCCTGAGGAGTTTTCAACTCCTCCAAATTCCACTTTCTCCTTAGACTGGCCTCCCCCGAGGTGTCTCATCTGTATCTGCTGAAACCCACCCCCACTGACTTCATTTTTCCCAGCTCCTCCCGTCCTGAGGAGCTTTTCCCATCCTGGTCCCTAACCCACCATCCATCATCTCACCTTCACCCCGTCCCTGGCAGCTGGTCCAGAAGGGGGCCAGGAAGCGGGTGCTGAGCCCCGTGTGCTCTGTGCGGGGGTGAGGAGCACATCCTGCAGTGTCCGTGGACATGTGGATCAGAGGGGGCTGGAGGGAAAGTGGAGGGAGAATCTAGGAAAGCGAGGTGGGATGTAAAAAGAGGTCTGAGAAGGAGGAGAGCCCATAGCTGGAGGGCAAACAGGCTGCCTGGTGCACATGGCTCCTCCATGCGGGGGGGCACAAGAAAGGGGAAGGAAGGGCTGGATGCTGCAGATGGGATGTAGGCAGCACGGGGCTGTTTTGGGAATAGGAGACACCCTGAGTGGGTGAACTTCAGATAAATCCCTT